GCGTTCGGAGCTTTGCGACAGTAAGGATGCGCTGTCGTCGCTGCAGGCTCAATGTGTTGTGCTGCCGCAGGATGCAGCCCTCCTGCCGAATCAGAATGACAATCACTTCGGGATGCACCGTGAGGTGGCAGATGTTTTGTGGTATCCAGAGCGTCTGGGACGATCGTTGCTGTAAGCATTGGGCTCCCGCCTCGCCTCCCAGGAACAGGGGACTGACGCCCGCTGGACGGCCTGTCGCTGAGGGCATCCAGAAGGCGGAGAAGCCTTGGGAGGAGATTGCAGGGCGGAGCTGCGTCGACATGGCCATTCGCCGCGTGGTCATCCTGAAGGAAATCCAGGGTGCGACCAAGACCAACTTGGCCGATTTTGAAGGCATGGCGTGGCGGTGCTTCATGATTGCGCCGATCGTCGAGTCGATCGCCGTGAGACTGCAGTCTGCGCGCGTGTCGAGCGATGTGCCGCTGCGCCGAATCCGAAGACGCCGTCGAGACTCTGACTCAGCAGAGTAGGGCGTGTGTTGACTTCACATGGGCCCAGCTGGAGCCTCAGCTGGAGCCATGCGGCGCGCCCAGCCCAGGGCCAGTTCCGCGCAGAGGTTGCGCAGCTCGTTCAAACTCACTTTTTCCATGATGTGGCGAAAGCGATCGCAGGGTCACTGCCAACGTTTGTCGAGGGCCCCCAAACGGTGTGGTGACCGCACCGCGCGGTGAGTCAGTGGGGATTCGGGGTCACCGCGCGGTTCTGAGATCTGAGTCGTCCTCCGAGGATGTCTCGAGCGACTGGGGCTCCGGGGTGCCAGAACCGCGCGGTGACAGGCCGCGTGGTGAGGTCGTTGGGGATTCCGAGGTCACCACGCTGTCCGTCACCACACGGTTTTGGGCTCCGAAGCTTGCCGCGTGCTGGAGGAGAACGTGGGCCTCGTCGGTGCGATGGGGGGGTGCCCTGTCGGAGGCGCGGCTCTGCTGCTGCGCGCTTTCGCGGCCGCGGGGCTTTCGCGGACTACTGCTCAATCCGAGCGCCGCCTGGCCGATGTGCAGGCGAAGGTGCAGGAGGTGATGAAGGCTGATGGGGCAGGCGCACATGCCTTCTCGTGGCCGTTTCCCGGACAGCGCGTCCAGCAGGGACCCCCCCTGGGGGTGGGGGTATGCGGCGGCGAGACTGCGCCCCTCCCCTCCCTCCCCGCCTCCTTTCTCTCCTTCCCTGCTCTGCTCCTCCCCTCCCCCTGGGGTTCACAGCGTCGCTGCGGCTCACCCCTCCGGCCAGGGTTCTGGTTCTTGGTCTTGGCGGTCTCGGCTTGGGCTCGAAGGATAATTGCAAAGGGCGCGGCCAACCGCAACTCCAATAGGGGTGCCCACTCTGGGTTGTGAGCGGAGATGAGCCAGGTCGTGCTGTGTTGATGGTTCCTCCAGTGGTGTCTCACTGGCCTTCTTCTGGGTCTTCGTTGAAGATCGGGGGCGGGAGTGCACAACCGTCTGGGGCGAATCGACGGCGGGGGCGGTTGGGCCCTCGGGTCTTTCTCCTGCCTCGCGTCCTGAGAGGGAAGGCGGCTGCGCCTCTGGCCCCGGCGAGTCTTTCGGGCTCTCAGAACACACGAGCTGGTCGCACGGGTCGTTTGGCTTTGCCTCAGGGCTGGGAGGGTAAGAGGGAGAGGGGGTGGCAGTGGGTATCAATCATGGTGCCCAGTTGAGTCAGAGGGTGGGCCGTGCCAGCGCTGGTGATGGGCCCCCGCTGGGGTGGCTTCCCCTCGGGGCTGTTTGGAGCTTTCGCACCACTGTTCGTTTTTGCTTTTGGTGTGTTTCTGTGTTGCGCGTTTGCAATGCCTGCAGCTGCCAGCAGCGTCGCTTTGGCGTCCGTCACGTGCCGATGCAGGCCCCGTGCATGCAGGAGCCCGAAGCGACAATTCGAGCCTTCCGTCCCAAGATGCCCCCAGGAGGCCCGAAGAGACCCCGAGAGGCCCCCGGGAGAACCGCAAGCCGTGTCAAGAGGCACCCAAACGCACTTCCACGGACGCAGTTTTTTGAGATGATGCTCCACGACGGCCCGCGCTCCACGACGGCCCGCACTCCACGACGCAGTTCCTTTTCCGCTCGCCCGCGCTCCACGACGGCCCCTGGGGCCCTGCAGATCGCCCAAGATCGCCCTCAGACGACCCACGATGCCCAGTCGAGGGTGCCGATACGGCCCCAGAGCGCCGAAGATGGCCCGCAGGGCGCCCAGAGCGGTCCCCGAGGGAGACCACGCGTCGACATATGAGGCCTTCCGCCCCAAGATACCTTCAGGAGGCTCCAAAAGGCCGCCTCAGGGCCTCGAAGACGCCCGAAGAGGCCCCCAGAAGCATTTCCACGAGGGCCCCACGACATTCAATTCGTGAATTTTCCTTGGGCGTCCTGTCCCAGATATTTCACAGCGGCGTCCAGTATTTGTTCGAATTGCCATCCAGTGCTTGTTTGTCTGAAACATCATCACATGTTGTATATCGGAGGAAGAGCGGGGGAGGAAGAGAGGGGGAGGAGGAGGAGGAGGAAGGGGAGGATGAGGACCAGTGTAAACCAACTATTCACCAACGATGTTGGAATAAGCTCTCCCTCCAAGCTCCCGCTTCACAGGCCCCAACAAGGGTTCATTGTTACTGAGGGATCTGCTGCGTTGGACAACAACCGTTTGAAGACCCTGAATTGTGTCGAAACATAGTTTTCGGGACTCCAACGCCACGACGCAGCATGACCGTTGCGTTTTGACGATTCGGGATCGCGCCAGAATGCCGTTCGTTTTGAAAGCGACCCGCCTTCCATCCGTGAAGCTCTTGAGGGCGAATGTGCGCGGCGCTAAGGCGAGAGCCACATTTTGAAAACCACCCACCTTCCATCCGTGAACCTCTCCAGTTGTTAAAAACTAATGTGCGCGGAGCTAAGGCGAGAGCCCCATTTCGAAAACGACCCGCTCTCATTTGCCAACTTGTAAAACAAATGTGCGCGGCGCGAAGGCGAGAGCCACAATTTCAGAACCACCCGCCCTCCATCTGTGAAGCTGTTGCCAATTTGTAGCTTCAGGGTCGTACATGGTGACGAAGTCTCAGGCGAGACGCCCGGCCAGCCCTTTCGATCGGCCTCGGGGTGAGACAGGGCGGAGTTATTTGTAAGGAGAAGGAACGGAGGACCCTCGAGCCCTCCCAGGCCGTCCTGGAGAGTTCTCTTGGGGGCATTTGGGGTCTCAGGAGAGCCCCAGGAGGGCCCCAACTTTACCCACATTTAACACACAGTCCAGCCGCGTCAGGGACGGCGTTTTGATACATTGGTGTGAATTTGTTGGGTTTCTTGGGCCGCCGTGGAGCTCCATTGGTGCCCCTTCGAGCCCTCCCAGGCCGTCGAGGAGAGCTCTCTTGGGAGCATCTGGGGGACTCAGGAGAGCTTCAGGAGGGCCCAACACTTGACACAACTTTAAGCACAATCCGCCGCCTCGTCAGCGACGGCGTTGTGATAGATGTGCGTGTGTGTGTGTGTGTGTGTGTGTGTGTGTGTGTGTGTGTGTTGTGTATGTGTGTTAATTTGTCGGGTCTCTTGGGCCGCTCTTGGAGATCCATCGGCGCCCCTTCGAGCTCCCCAGGAGATCCCCAAGAGGTTTCAACACTTAATTTGATCTTAACACAGACCGCTTCCTCGTCGATGACCGCGTTTTGTTAAACTGGTGTGAAGTCGTTGGGTCTCTTGGGCCGATCCTGAAACTCCCTTTGCGCCCCTTCGAGCCCTCCCAGGCCGTCCAGTGTTCTCTTGGGAGCCGCTTGGGGTCTGTGGAGAGTCCAGGGAGGGCCTCACATTTAATGCAGGGGGCGTTATGTTGAATTAGTGTGTGTGCGTGGGGGGCGCTCCCAGAGCTGTCGTGGGGTGGGCGTTATGTTAAGCCGCAGCCTCGTCAGGGTGGGCGTTTTGTAAACTGTGTGTGTGTGTGTGTGTGTGTGTGTGTGTGTGTGTGTGTGTGTGTGTGTGTGTGTGTGTGTGTGTGGGGGGGCGCTCCCGGAGCTGTCTTGGGGCCCCTTCGGGCCCTCCCAGGTTGTCTTGGAGAGCTCTCCTGGGAGCCTGTGGGGGTCTCGGGAGAGCCCACAGACGGCTCAGACTTTACACACGTTTGACACAACACTGTCCCTGACGAGGTAGCGGCTAGTGATCAATTTGTGCCTAGCGTTCGGCCATCTTGGGGACCTCCCGAAGCCTGGGTACCAAGGACGGCCTGGGATGCCTCGAAACTTTGAAATTCAACACGATTTTAGCATAAGCTGTTTCCTTGTAGATGATGGGCTCGACATAAATGTGTGTTGTGTTTTTGTATATCTTGGGGCGCTCGCGACACTGCTTTGGGGCGCCTTCGGGCCTTCACAGACCGTCTTGGATACACGTAAGACGGATCGCAGCATGCGCCCAGAGCTTCTCCAGGAGCATCCGAACGATGTTTCCGGAAAACTTTCTGGAATCATCTACGACGATTTCCCAGAATAGTCTCCGTGAGCATCCGAGCGGATGTTCCGAATTACGCCGCGGGAGTAAGAAGAGGAGGAGGAGAAGGATGAGGATGAGGAGGAGGAAGATGAGGAGGAGGAGGAGGAGGAGGACCAGTGTAAACCCAAGAATCATCAACGATGTTGGAATTAACCCTCCCTCCAAGCTCCGTCTTCATAGGCCCCCACAACGGTTATTTCCATTGAGGGAACTGCCTCGTTGGAAGACAACCGTTTGAAGATCCTCAAGCATGCCAGAACATTGTTCTCTGGATTTCAACGCTACGTATCAACCTGACTGCTGCGTCTTGGCGATCCAGAATCGCGCCAGAGCGCATTTTTTTGTGATTTCGACACCACGAGCCAACATATTGTTGCAACCGCATAATCCTGAATCCTTGCAGGAAAAAAGCCATTTCTGATACGTGGCTCATGGGAATCCGTGAAACTCTTGCAGATGTTGTAAACGAGTGTGCGCGGCGCTCAGGCGAGAGCCACATGTTGAAAAGGAAGCGCCCTCAATCCGTGAAGCTCTTGCACATTGTTAGAACGAGTGTGCGCGGCGCTAAGGCGAGAGTGAAATTTTGAAAACGGCCAGCCCTCAATCCGTGAAGCTCTTGCACATTTTTAGAACGAACGTGCGCGGCGCTAAAGCGAGAGCCACATTTTGAAACTGACCCGCCCTCAGTCCGTGAAGCTCTTGGAGTTTTTCCCAACCATCCTGTGGTGTTGGGTCCTCGTTTTGAATAGACAGCGCCCCGCGTCTCGTCCTTCCTTCCTTCCTCCTCCCCCTCCTCCCCTCTCCGTCCTCCCTCCTCCCTCCTCCCCCTCCCCCTCCCCCTCCTTGCCTTTGCTTTCGGCACACCTCCCACACGTTTCGTAGCCCCAAGGTGAGCTCCACCGAAGGTCCCAGTGGCACAGCCAGCATGCGGTTCCCTTACCCAGGACAGCGTTTCGTCGTCCCATGGGCATGCGGTTCCCCTGCCCAGGACAGCGTTTCGTGGCCCCATAGGGTGCCCCACCGAAGGCCCCAATGGCTGCTCTCGCATGCGGTTCCCCACCCAGGGCAGCGTTTCGTGGCCCCATAGGGAGCTGCACCGTAGGCCCCAGTGGCTGCTCTCGCATGCGTTTCCCCCACCCAGGGCAGCGTTTCGTTTCCCCATAGAGAGCTCCACCGAAGGCCCGCCCCAGTGGGGGTGCCCGCATGCGGTTCCCCTACCCAGGGCAGCGTTTCGTGGCCCCATAGGGAGCTCCACCGCAGGCCCCAGTGGCTGCTCTCGCATGCGGTTCCCCCGCCCAGGGCAGCGTTTCGTTTCCCATAGAGAGCTCCACCGAAGGCTTCAGTGGGGGTGCCCGCATGCGGTTCCCCTACCCAGGGCAGCGTTTCGTGGCCCATGGGGGGCTCCACCGAATGCCCCAGTGGCTGCTCTCGCATGCGGTTCCCCCGCCCAGGGCAGCTCCACCGAAGGCCCCAGTGGGGGTGTCCTCATGCGGTTCCCGCACCCAGGGCAGCGTTTCGTGGCCCCGTAAAGGGGCTCCACCGAAGGCCCTAGTGGGGGAGGTCGCATGCGG